TTTTATCCTCTGCATTACCCTCCTGAATAGCTGGGATTTGGATTACAGGTTTGTGGTCATTTTGCCTGGAACCACCAAATTCTTTTGTATTTATAAATCTGATTGTGATATGTATGACCACTATTTATTTATTTTTTTAAAGAGAGAAAGAGAGAGAGAGAGAGAGAGAATTTTTTAATATTTATTTTTTAGTTATCGGCAGACACAACCTCTTTGTTTGTATGTGGTGCTGAGGATCGAACCTAGGCCGCACGCATGCCAGGCAAGCGCACTACCGCTTGAGCCACATCCCCAGCCCATGACCACTATTTATTTAAGTGAAACCTTTACATCCATATCAGCTTAATTCTATTGAATTAAAAAATGAGGGGCTGGGGATGTGGCTCAAGCGGTAGCGCTCTCGCCTGGCATGCGCAGGGCGCTGGGTTCCATCCTTAGCACCACATAAAAATAAAAAAATAAAGATGTTGTGTCCACCGAAAACTAAAAAATAAATATTCAAAAAAATTTTTAAAAGAATTTAAATAAATAAATAATAAAAAATGCCACTGCTGTTGGGCATGGTGGCACACTCCTGTAATCCCAGCAATTCAAGAGACTGAGACAGAAGGATTGCAAATTCCAAGCCAGCCTCAGCCTCAACAATTTAAAGAGGCCATCAACAATTTATCAAGATCCTGACTCAAAATTAAAAAAAAAAAAAGATAGAAGGGGTTGGGGATGTAGCTTAGAGGTAGAGTAGTAGAGTGTCCATGGATTCAATCCCCAATACCAGCAAAAAACAAAACAAACAACAAAAACAAAAACAAACCCTGTTTACCCTACCTATGGGCTCTGCAGGGCAAGTGTGAAAGCTAGAATACAATGTTAATCATGAGTGGAATTGATTGATTAAGCTAATGCTTTTTTTTTTTTTAATTTTTAATATTTTTATTTTTATTTTTTAGTTATAGGCAGACACAACATCTTTGTTTGTATGTGGTGCTGAGGATCGAACCCGGGCCGCACGCATGCCAGGCGAGCGTGCTACCGCTTGAGCCACATCCCCAGCCCTAAGCTAATGCTTTGTAAAACTGGTGAAAGTGATAAAACTCATTACAGGGACTAACTCCTCTGTGAACTTCCCAGTCAAAGCCCTTAAATCTCCAAATCTCCATATGTAATCCTGAGCGAAGGTGCCCAGATTCCACAGAAACCAAACTAGATGGCAGAAAAGACCCCCACCCTCGAGGACCGGGACTCTCAAGTGTGGCCCCCTAACCAGGAAAAACAGCATCCAGGAACTTGTTCAAAATGCAAATTCTCAGCTCCTTCCCCTTCAAGTGTACCTGGCACCTGGGGGTGAGGCCCATCACTGCGATTATTAACAAGCCCTTCAAGGGCCCTCGATGCCGGATGCCAGTTCCCTACGCGAACCACGATTCTCCATTACTTTGGCTGCCCTTTGCCAGGAAGGGTGGAGATGGAGGATATGGGAACCTCTTCCCACCTCTTCAAGGACCTTTATTGTCTATTGGTTGGTTGGCTTGGCCATTATCCTAATATGGGTGGAGCACAATACCCATTAGGCAAAACATAAACCAGACCTGTTCCACGGAACTGTGAAGTCAGTTTTCCTTGGCTTTGCCTTTGGTCATTAAAAAAAAAAAAAGAAAGAAAATGCTTGCTTCATGAGCCCCACTGGTCTCTGAACTTTTCCCTTTTCTAGTAAAAGTACGAATTCCAGCTGGAGTTCTTGACCAACGACGTCTTTCTTCAGAAGTTGCTGTCTTCCATGCTTTGCTGAGTTCCAGAGATAAGATAAATAATTTACCAAATGTAGGTTTCTGATTACTCACTCTATTAGCATTTAGAGCTGAGAGCTCTGGCCCCTGGGGAGTTGGATTTGTTCAGATGCAGCCCATCTGCTTTTGTTTTTTTGCGGGGAGTTTTTTTGGGGGGTGGGGTTGCCTGGAAAAGCCAGGGAGCTCCCAGCATCCCACACATACTTTGGGGATGAACTGCCTGGATCTTATGGGTTTTACTGGAAATTCTGGGGAATGCTATTTTATTATTTAAAAAAAACACAGCTGCTAAGTCTCTTTTCCCCTCTCTCCCTCCCCCACCCCCTTTTTTAAAAAAAAAAGTAAAAACAAAACTCTCCATTTCATTTTCAAAGATTGTACAGAATTATCAGAAGGGTATTTTCAATCTTGTGCAATGTCTTTATCCTAAATATGTGCTGCACACTCCAAGAGTAATTTCAGGGAATTTTATAGAAGAGATTAAGTAGAGTTTCTCCTAAATCAAGTGACGCTGGAGAAAAAAAAAAAGGGGGAACTGTCTATGCCATGAAAGCATCATTTTTCACTCACACAAATTTCTGAAGAATAGTAGCAATATCAGTGGTGATGGATGAATAGAAGGTTTGTATCCGGAGTTATTCCACCGGCTCTTCCTTTTATGGCAAGTGCATGCCATTATTATTTCATAGAGGTTTTAAGAGTAAACTGGGTTGCCCTGCATGGTGGCACACACCTGTAATCCCAGCAACTTTGGAGGTTGAGGCGGGAGGATCACAAATTTGAGGCCATCAGCAGTTTAGGGAGACCCTGTCTCAAAATAAAAAGTAAAAAGGGGGGCTGGGGTTGTAGTTCAATGGTAGAGCACTCGCCTCACACGTGCGAAGCCCTGGGTTTGATCCTCAGCACCACATAGATAAATAAAATATTGTGTTCAACTACAACTAAAATATAAATATTAAAAAAAAAAGTTAAAAGGGCTGGGGATGGAACTCAGTGGTTAAATGACCCTGGGTTCAATCCCCAGAGGTCCCCCTCAAAAAAAAACAACAACAACAAAAAACCCAATAAATTCTGTTAACAGAAGAAATCACTGCAAAAATAGATAGCAGGTTTTTTCCATACCAGGGATTAAGCCCAGGGGTTCTCTATCACTGAACTACCTACCCAGCCTTTTTTTATCATTGGGGGCTGGAAACGTAGCTCAATTGTAGAGCCCTAGCCCAGCAAAAAGAAAAGAAAAAAAATTTTTTTTCCAAAGGTCTTGCAAAGTTGCCCAGCCTGGCCTCAAACTTGCAATTCTCTGCCTCAGCCTTCAGATAATGAGTGTTCTTTAATTTCTTCAGGACAATCTGATCAACAACTTATTTCATATAAAGAAATGGTGACACACTAATCCCAGTGACTCCCGGAGGCAGAGGCAGGAGGATTGTAAATTCGAGGCCAGACTCAGCAATCTAGAAACATCCTGTCTAAAAGTTAAAATTAAAATTAAAAAAAAGGTGGGGGCTGGGGCTGTAGCTCCGTGGCAGAGCATGTGCCTTGCACGTATGAGGCCCTGGGTTCGACACTCAGCACCACATAAAAATAGATAAAATAAAAATATTGTGTCCATCTACAACTAAAAAAAAAATTATAAAGGGGGGCGGCTGGGATATAACTCAGTGGTAAAGCATCCTTGGGTTCAATCACCAGTTCCAGGGGAAGAAAAGGGGGGTGGGGAAGAAGGGGAGGAAAAGATTGATTTAACTACATGCCTGAGTGGTATAGCACAGTGGTACGTGGGTCTTATTTTGGTGACCCCTAGGGAAGAGAATTTGCATGTAGCCTTCCATAGAAGACCTTTGTATTTTCATGGATTTTCCTAATGCAAAGTCAGGATTGCACATCCTATTTCCTAGGATAAGCACCCTGTGAAAAGAGTAAAATAATGACATGATGACATCTTACTAGGAACCTATTGTTTTCTGGCCAGTGATTTAGGAGAAAGCCCATTGTCTCCCAACGCCCAGTTGCTTTAGAAGTCTCCTGTATGGAAAGGAAAGTCCAGGGTTGGTTGGGGTGTGCAGCTAGCTGATCAGTTAGCTGGGATACAAGAATAATATACATCCAGATGGGGAACCCCACGAGAAGGATGAGAGAGGGAGAGGGGGGGTGGGAGAGAGAGGGGTAAAGTTAGGACACAGAAGGAATTCCTTGTGCTTCACAGCTCTGGGTCTGAAGCAATTAGAGAGTGAAAGGTGTAGAAAGCTACCTGCCACCTATTTTGTGTTTCTCTGGGAGATTAACCTACTTTCTTGGCTCATTTTCTTCTGCTTCCTCCATCCGTGGGTATAAAAGCTGTGGTAGCTGGCAGCCTCAGATGACTCCAGCGGCATCTGTTATCTAGTTCCAGGGCCTCCTGGGGACACACAGAGTCATTTACCTCTTATTTCTTTTACTTCCTCCCCAACAGTAGGTAAAAAGTCTGCCCTGAGCTTAGCCACCGTCTCCCTGGCCACAAGAATCCCGCTCCACAAAGGGTGGCGAGTCAATAGCTGGCCCCTGAGCTCTTCTCTTTTTTTCTTGTCTTCTGACAGATCCAAGAGGCTGGAGCAGTAAATCTGAGAAAAGCAGGCATATACACACACACACACACACACACACGCACGCACGCACACGCGCACGATCGCACACACGCACACACAGACACTCAAGGAGAACTCAGTCCCGGGCACTAGCTCTCCACTTCTGCTAGCCGTATGCTGTATTGAGAGGGTTTCATATTCTCCTGCGGCATTTTGGTTTTTTTTTTTTGGGGGGGGGGTGGGTGGTGCTGGATGGCTGAATGAAACAGCCTTCCCTGCAGACATCAAAGCATGTCTCCAGCATAGCAAACTCTCCAACCAGCCTCCCGTCTCTCCGGCTACATTCCAATTGAACTGGGGCTGCCTTGCATGATAATCAGGCCTAATTACCGCTTTATCCCTTGATTGTTGTGCTGAGTTTTGGAACTGCAGAGTTCTTTTCTCAGCTTGGGTTCTGCCTTCCCTCGCCTGCCCTCCACCTCTGGAGTGCGCCTGTCCGAGGCCTGAGATTCAGCCATTATAATTAGCCAATAGGTGAAAAGGGCAGGACCGTGCCTTGGGGACAGCAGCTCCTGGTCCACTCAGTAAACTTGCATTCCTGTCACCAATGAGGGGAGACCTTGCTGTTTACAAGATATTCGGAATGCCAAGCGAGCTTTAAGAGATTTATTACTAGGTTAAAGAGTAAAGCAAAGGCCAGAAGACGTATCCTCATTGCCCTGAGGTGTTTTCCTACCTTCTCTCTTACAACACACTGGGCACAAAACCTCCTCTTTTTCTTTTTTGGTACTGGGAATTGAACCCAGGGGCACTTAACTGAGCCACATCCCCAGATATTTATTTAGAGGCAGGGTCTTGCTAAATTGGTAAGGCCCTGCTAAATTGCGGAGGAGGCTGGCTTTGAATTTACATCCTCCTGTCTCAGCCTTCCGAGTTGCTGGGATCATTCATAGGCGTGCACCACTGCTCCCAGTGTCTTTTTCTGAGGGGGTAAGGGGCTGGGATTGAAGCCAGTGGTGCTTTAAAACAGAGCTATACCCCCAGCCTCTCTTTTTTTATTTACTGTTTGGAGACAATGAAACCAGAGTTATGAGATGAGAATAGATTCCCTGTTTCCCAGTTTCCTCCAGGTTCTTGTCTCACAAATTTTGAATAAAATCCATGGACCGTCATGGGAGGGAAGAATAAACAGAGTAATATTTATTAAATCGAGAAGAGGTAAGAAACCCCCATGTGGGAGGGGGCCTCATAGCAGAAAAAAGAAAACATTTTGGTGCGACAGTTTAGGAGTTTATATATGGTTCTGCGTAAAGCACGGAGCAAAATGTATGTAAAATAGGCCTGGAAAAAGTTTGGAGGCTGTGGCCTCCCATAACTCTCATCTGGGCTCACCCTCACCTTCCTTCCTATAATTCCATCTGAGTTCACCTCCACCTCTGTTTTCCACTGTTGGGACAAAGGAGATGGCTGGAGGGGTTCCTGCAGGTGATCCTCAAGGTCTTCTACATTCGAAATAGGCCTTGCTGGTGCTCTACTTACTGCTTAGCCTCCTGACCTGGTTTTGAGTTTGAATAAAAATGACCATTGATATTCTTATTTAACAAGCTGTCTCTAAATGGCCAAGGCTGGCCTTCAACAAGCAATCCTGACTCCACCTTCCAAGTACCTGGGGTTACAGGTATGCACCACCACACTCCTGCCTTTTTTTAGGGGAGTGCAGGGATTGAACCCAGAGGCACTCAACCACTGGGCCACATCTCCAGCCTTTTTGTTTTTTTTTTTTTGAGACAGGGTCTTGCTAAATTGCTTATGGCCTTGCTAAATTGCTGAGGCTGACTTTGAACTTGTGATCCTCTTGCCTCACTCTCCCAAGCTGCTGATATTACTGCCACAAAAATCTCTTTATGTTAAGATGATCAGAAGAAAGGGAGTATAAACCAGGACTTCTGGAAGCTTTTCCATAACGTTTTTACTTGGTAAGATGTATTTAAATATCTTAGTTTCCCTAACTGTAAAAGGAACCTCAGATAAATATTCCAAGTGAAACAAAGTTAGCGCTGAGTTGCTAATTATCAAAGCTGATGTTGGAACATGTTTGTTTATTATTACTATTTTGTCTATTTTTATTTTACTTTATTTTCTTGTGGTGCTAGAAATCAAACCCAGGGCCTGCTGGGTGTGGTGGCACATGCCTGTAATCTTAGTGACTTGGGTGGCTGAGACAGGTGGATTGCAAGTTCAAAACCAGTTTCACCAACTTATTGAGGCCCAAAGCAACTCAGAGATCTGTCTGTAAATAAAATGCAAAATAGGGCTGGGGATGTGGCTCAGTGGTTGATCGCCTCTGAGTTCAATCCCCATACCAAAAAATAAAAAATAAAAAAAATAAAAAATAGGGCTAGGGATGTTGTTCAGTGGTTAAGTATCCTTGAGTTCAATGCTATGTACAAAACAGCAGCAGGTTAGGGGGTATTTCTAGTTAAATCCCAAACTAACAAGTCAAGCCTTACTGCTGGTATGTGGGGGCTGTGCTTTGATTAGCAAGGGTTAAATTAACCCCAGTGTTTTAGAGATAAGGAGGCTGAGGTCCTGAGAGATTAGTACTTGCCTTTGCGGGTACTGGTTGTATCACTGACTTCAGAGAAGCCTGTGACCTGCTGGACGGCAGGTGCAGGCTGCATTTACCTGAACATAGGAAGTTCGGAGCTGAGCTGCAGCACTGATTTCTCCCCAGCAGCATATGGATGCTCTGGGGAGCCGCACGGTGTGGCTGTTCTGCCACAGTCTGTCATCCTATCATTGTTTTTCTGCATTTTCCAACTCTGGCCTCTTGAATTCTTCTTGGAATTCCAGGAGGCTTCTTGGGCAATAATGAGCCCCATTAAATGCATGACCCTGTGCACTAACATGTACCCAGACTTTATCCTGTTTTTGGTCAAACACTAGTACATTGAGCAAAGTAGCTAACAATCCTGAATTGCAAAAATAATATGGATTAGTCATCTCTGAAACACATTCCCTAATAACAGGCAAGGGAGCACTTCTTGATGCAGGAAATCCTGTTTCACACAGAGCTGGTGAACTCAGGGAATTTTCCCAGAGCTGGCACAGGTTCAAAATGGCTTTCTCACCCTCCTGGAAGGATGGATAAGATAGCTAATCATCCTTCATGGAAAAGGATGCTCAGCGATTACTTCCTAACCTCTGAGGGTGAAGTCAGAGAAGGTGTCTCTGCCCTCTGTGTCCCTGGTCAGTGACAGAACTCAGGACAGAGAACCCAAGAACTGACCTGTTGGCATATTTTGTAATCACTAAGACAATTTTTAAAAAACATTACCAAGCCGGGTGTGGTGACAAACGTCTGTGATCCCAGACATTGAGGAGGCAGCCTCTGCAATTTAGTGAGACTCTGTCTCAAAATTTAAAAAATAAGAAGTTCTGGGGATGTAGCTCATTGGTAATGTATCCCTGGTTCAATTCCCAGCAATGGGGGTGGGATGGGGAGAGGGAGTGAGGATGCTGCTCAGTGGTTAGAGCACTGGCTGGGTTCCAGCCCCAGCAACACATAATAACAATAATAATAATAATAATAATAATAATAATAATAATAATAATAAAAGTAAAAACCTTTACCAGAGCCTCTATTCTCTGCCCATCACCTCAAATAAAGCACCTCTTATTCTGGGTTTAATACAATATCTGTTGGAAAGCCAGCGACTCGGGGTTAGAACACTCTGATCTTTCCCAAAGACCTCAGCTCTTAGCTTTGAAGCGTCCCTTGTTTCATTTGTATCTTTTCTCCCTGATCCATTGACACATTTTTCCCTGAGCACTTTCTGTTTGGAGGCGCTTAAGAGGAGCCAGATGAATGGGAGTCAGACTCTGCTCATGGCTCAGTCCCGATCTGGGTGAGGTTTGAAAGCTTAAGGAGCAGAACCCAGGGAAAAGTTAATTTGGGGTGCTGAGCATGTGGACTTGGGCTTTTGTGCGGGTGAGGAGTGAGGACGTGGAATGAGTCAACTCTTTGAGAGGTGGGGAGGGGGAGGGGGGGCGGGGGGCCTCCCCGGAGCCCGGAGCCATTAGTAATCTGCTTTGTGAATGGAGTTCAAGGAGGAGGGGGGCTCACATACTTGGAATTCCTTTATCTGGGTGGGCTTCTCCTCTCCAAACTTTCAGGATGTGGGAAATGGAAGATGAAAGAAGCGACATTTCCAGCCTATCGGGTTACACAGTGTAAAACGCAGAGGGAGAGGGGCAGGGGGTGGGGAGGGGGCGGGAGGCTCGGGAGAGGGGCCGGGACGCCCAGGTTGGGAGCCGGCGGGGAGGGAGGCCGGCGGGAGGGCTGGGCGCGCAGATCACGTTTCTCATCACATCAGAGCTGTGGAATTTCCTCTCTTCTGGGGGTGGGGGAGGCCCTGCGAAGATGAAGTTGGTTTAAGGTTAGTGGGTGATGAATAATGGCCCAAAGGCGCGCTCACGGGGGGTGTTACCAAGTGACCGGTGTTTACAAACAGAGCTGTCCCGGTGGGGTTGGGACGTGGGTGCTGGGACCATCCTCCGTCCCTGCTGTTGACCGAATCCTGTGACCCGAGGATGGAGTCCATGTATGGATTGTATTTGTGTCTGACCTCTGTGGCATGCAGAGCCCCAACTCTGGGGCTCTCGGATGGCGGGGAGCAGCGGGACGGGGAAGGTGATTAGCCCAGGCGGGAGAGCCCCGCGGTGGCTGCAGGATCCGCGCCCTCCAGGCGCAGCCTGAGCTCTGCTTTGTGTCTGGGACGTCCCTGGGGCGCCCAGGCCGGATCTGTTTCTGTTCTACTTAAGCCACGTGCTCCACACCACTCCGTTGTCACCGCCTGGCTCTCCGCGGGCCTTTCCTCTCCAGAGACGTGTGTATTTTAAAAGTTCTACCCGGGGCCCACGTCCCTTCTCTCAGGGAGAAGCACCCAACCCTGAGGCCCTCCCCAGGGGTGCAGAACTTCAGCTAGGTGGGGGAGGTGCTTCCTAAGGCCAAGTACACCCTCCCTCTGGGGGAAGAAGAAACACTGGGGGAAGGGCCTCTGGGTCAAGTTTGGACCCAAAAATGAAATCCCGGTCTGGCAAGAAGAAGAGCAGGTGGGAGAGAGAACCCAGCAAAGAGGGCTGCAGGTGGTTGAGAGAAAAGGAATTTCTGTTAAACCCTGATACCAACCATAATTGAGCAATGTTTTGTTCTAATATTATGGTGGGTAGAAAGTTATTAGGTGGCATATAAATCATCACATACTAAAGATGACAAAAATATCGCTTGTTTTAAAAAAAATTAGAAGACAATAAAATCTGCTTGTCACAAATCATTGCAAGCTTCATTGAATCTTTTTTCCCTCCTGTTTCAGAAAGCTGTTTAGGATTTTGCAGTGTATCAGGGTCATCATTTTCAACCATCTATTAGTGCCATCTAGTAGTCTAGTGAGAGGTTCAGTTAATAAAGATTTCTGGTTGATAGATTGCTAGAGGAAACAGACTTTTTGGTCTCTCTTTGAATTGCTACCGAGCTATTACAATACATTGACTCCATTTTTTTTTTTTTATCATTTAACAAACCATACACTCACATTCTCCCCCTCCTTTCTCCTTTGCCAAACACCACCACCCTCAATAAGTTTGGAGAAAAATAAACGTATTCCCTCCTCTTTGCATTGTGTCCTCAGGACTCCTTTTCTTCCAAGGGCAGCTCTAACCTTGAACCTTGCTAGACTCCAGTGAGTCTGCCTAAATCCAGACGGATCCTTCTTGACACCCATAGTCATTTTCTAAGATTGACTTTTTATTTCTTCTTTCTTTATTTTTGCAGTACTAGGGATTGAACCCAGGATCTCTCACATCTCCTGCCTGCTGGGCAGGGCCTTTACCACTGAGCTACACCCCAAGCAAGCCCTGGACTTTGTTTTTGTTTTGCATTACTGGTGCTGGGGACTGAACTCAGAGCACACTCTGCCACTGAGCTCCATTCCCAGCCCTTTTTATTTATTTATTTTTATTTTTAGACAAGATCACCCGAAGTCTCCCAGGCTGACCTGGAACTTGCGATCTCCCTGCCTCAGCCTCTTGAGCAGCTGGGATTATAGGCCTGCGTCACTATGCCTGGCTGATTTTTTTTTTTTTTTTTAATGAGGCCTATTAAATTTGGACAGGTACTGTATTTGAACTGGTACTTCTGGATTTCTGAGTGGTTTCCTAAGAACAGGTAAGGGGAGTAACTGCAGTGATATTTCCTGTGTGCCCAAATGAAATAAATCAACAACCTACCTTTCTATTCTTAGCCGAAATGAAAATTAATTTCTGAAAGTTCTGTGGTCAGTTTAGCCCATGGTAGCCTGCTGTTGACCTTAGTGTGGAGGACCTAAGGACTCAAATGTTGCAATTATAGCTGACTTGGATTACTGGCCTTATTTACCAGCTGGGCACCTTGTTTTTTATTGAGCTAACACTTATACAGCATTTGCTCTGTGCCAAGCACCGGTCTAAGCATTTTACAAATATTTGCTAGGCTCATCCTCACCCTGGTGTTGTTATTATATAACACTATGATGAAGCAGTGTTGCCATTATCCTGGCTTTACAGATAAGGAATCTGAGACTTGGAGATCTGAGCTCACTTGCCAGCTCTAGCACAGCCCCTGCTTGGTGGGGACATCCAGCTGTTTCCACACGGACCACCATGGAGCATTGGACAAATCACTCTGCCGTGCCCGGGGACCAGCGAGGGGCTTGAAACCGCAGGCAGTTGGGGAGACTCCACACACACACAGCAAAAACCACGAGCAAGATGCCAAAGCATCTTGGGTTCTAGGCAGCCAGAGGAAAGAGATTTCGAAGGCTGCTCTCCCCAAGGCCACCCCCAAGTCCCGCAGCCAGTGTCCGGTACCTTCTTATCATTCAATTCACAGCCTCAGTCCTGTACCGTTTCCGTTTCCTCAAGCTGCATCTAGACATGATTCTGGTCCCCACCAGCTTCTGACCTCCTTACTCATTCTGTTTACAGTGCGGCCTCGCCCTTCAGACTGCCCCGATTTCCAGATAGGAATTTGGCTGCCCTGTTGACTATGATTCAGATTTTCACCCCAGCCACATTGCGCCAGGTCCTCCTGTGGACACGCCCCTCTGGTCAGACTGGCACCCTGGGGCCCTTTGAGCAAGCGCTGCTGAGTGGGGGCAGGGCCCCTGTGGAACACATCCCACCCCTGAGGGTTTGGGCAGGACTATGGAGCACGTGGAATGAAACTGTGAACTCTTGAAGGGTTTGGAGTAGTAGGCGGGGTAAGGTAATAAAGGGGGCTGTCAGGAGGGGTAGATTGGCAGGAGGTAAGGCATGAATAAGCGCGTGGTCATTGCTGGATTTGTGGGGCACAGGGCGAGGAGGGCCGCCCCACCCTTGTCCAGGGTTGGTTGTTTTGTTGTTGTTGTTGTTGTTTGTTTGTTTGGACTGGGGATTGAAACAGTACAGGTGAGGACCACAGCGCCCAGTCTCCTCCAGGGTTTCTTATATGAAGCCTCTGGGAGGTCGCTGCCTGGGGGGACAGGAACAGAGTGCTTGTGAGGAGCTGGACAGGCCTAACTGAACGCCTTGGCAAATGTTTACAGAATATACTGTGTCAGATCTCCAGATCTTTCAAAATACTAATGGCCCCTGGAGGGCTGAAACCTGTGAGCCGCAGTCAGGTCCTCCGCACCTTGGTCTTGAAGGAAAAAGGAAAGGCTGGTGGAAAGACACTGAAGAGCAGGAAACCCAGGAGACGGGGTGTGTTCTGCTGGGGCTCACCTGTTGGGGCCACTGTGAGGTGGAGACTGCAGGGGTGAAGCTCCAGCAGGTAGACAGAGGAGCCCAGGCAGGAAGCCTTCCTGCGCACCTCCACGCCCTAGTGCTGGAGATGGAACCCCAGGCCTGGGCACACTGGGCAAGCCCACCTGAACCACACCTGGCCTCTCCACTCTACTCTTAGCTCAGCTCTCCCTCTACCCCACTCCCGCCCTTCCGCAGGGTGCCTCTCTGGGGATCAAACCCAGCGCTAGCGCTGCTCTACACTGAGCCACATCCCAACTTTTTTTTGGGGGGGCAGGGGTGCCAGGGATTGAACTCAGGGGCACTCAACCACTCAGCCCCAGCCCTATTTTGTATTTTATTTAGAGACAGGGTCTCACTGAGTTGCTTAGGGCCTCGCTGTTGCTGAGGCTGGCTTTGAACTCAAGATCCTCCTGCCTCAGCCTCCTGAGCCGCTGGGGTTACAGGCGTGCACCACTGCACCCAGCTCCAACTGTTTTTTATTTTGAAACTACATTGCTGAGGTTGGCCTCCAATTTGTGAACCTCCTGCCTCATCTTCCAGAGGCAGGTGTGAGCCACCATGCCCTGTTCAACTGCTCTCTTTTTATTAGGCTTTTCAGCCTGTTTCACCTACATTTATTTGTTTGTTTATTGGTACCAGGGTTTGAGCCCCCAGGCTCACTTAACCACTGAGCCACATCCCTGGCCCTTTTTAAATTTTTATTTCGGGACAGGGTCATGCTAAATTGCTTAGTCCCTCTTTAAGTAGCTGAGGCTGGCTTTGAACTTGGGATCCTCCTGCCTCCTCCTCTCAAACAGCTGGGATTACAGGGGTGTGCCACTGTGCCCCGCTATTTTTTATTTTTTGTGGTCCTGGGGTTGAACCCAGGAGCGTTCCACCATTGAGCTACGTCCTCAATCCTTTTTATTTTTGTTTTGAGACAGGGTCTCACTATAGTCGCTCAGGCTGGCTTCAAACTTTCAAGGCTTCAGTTTCCTGAGTCACTGAAATTACAGGTGTGCCCCACCACACCCAGCTGTCTCCTTCCTACTTGTCATTTTATTCTCCACCCTTGGTCTTCTCCCTGTCACCTCAATTGAGTCTTTCTTTCCTATCCATTTTTTTTTTGGACTCTCAAGTGCCAAAAAACACAGGGGCACTTTACTCCTGAGCCATATCCCATCCCTTTTGGGGGGTAAGGTGGGGGCAGGGTCTTGCTGAGTTTTTTTTTTGTGTGTGTGTGTGTGTATGTGTGGTGCTGGGGATTGAACCCAGGGCCTTATGCATGCAAGGTAAGCACTCTACCAACTGAACTATATTCCCAACCCAGCTTGCTAAGTTCTTGAACCTGGCTTTGAATTTGTGATCCTCCTGCCTCAGCCTCCCCAGTGGCTTAGATTACAGATGTGGGCCACTGTGCACGGCTCTAAAAGGAATTTTATTTAAAAAAAATATTTATTTTTAGGTGTAGATGGACACAACACAACGCCTTTATTTTTATATGGGGCTGAGGATCCCAGCCCTCTAAAAGGAATTTTTAAAAAATGTTTTATTGGGGGGGAGGTGCTGGGGTTGTGGCTCAGCGGTAGAGCGCTCGCCTAGCACGGGCGGGACCCGGGTTGGATCCTCAGCATCACATACAAATAAATAAAATAAGTGTATTGTGTCCAACCACAACTAAAAAATAAATTTAAAAAAAATGAAGGTAGATTTAAAAAAAATGTTTTATGCACGCATGTTTGATCTCTGCATGTTTTATATGTTCCTTCTGCAACTCTAGGTCAGGACTTGTAGAGGGGCAAATACTGGTGTCAGCCTTGGGAAGGAGTTTCCCTGCAGCTCAGTTTAGTGGCTAGAGATTGTCATCCCAGCAACCACTGTTTGTTTTCCAGCATCAGGTGCCAGGTTAAGGGCTCTTGATCCTTACCTGTGCCCATCCCTGTCGGATGAATGAGGAAACTAAGACTCGGGATTGAGCAAATTGCTCAGTGGTAGATTCGAGTTTTGGTTCCAAGCTGACATTGACCGTCCAGGCTCTGTGTCACTGCTTCATACCGAATCCTTAGGACCATGCTGTGGTGCCCAGGCTAACCTTGAACTCCTAGGCTCAAGGGATCCTAGCTAAGATTAAAGGTATGTGCTACTGCAACCAATAGTATTCTTATTATCCTCATTTTCTAAGTCAGGAAACAAGCTCACAAAGGTTAAGTAATTTGTAGACATCACACTAGTAGGAAATGGTAGAACCAGACTGTGACCCAGGCAGTGGGATTCCCAGCTTTAGGTTTTTTTTTTGGTACCGGAGATTGAACCCAGGAGTGCTTAACCTCTAAGCTACACCACTAGCCCTTTTTATTTTTTATTTTGGACAGGGTCTTGCTAAGTTGCTTAGTGCCTTGCTAAATTGCTGAGGCTGGCTTTGAACTTTTGATCCTCCTGCCTCAGCCTCCCGAGTTGCTGGGGTGACAGACATGCACCATCACATCCGGCCCCAGCTACAGTTCTTTAACCACTGCATTTAGTTATTCAACATCTGAAAGAATGTCACACAATTTTTGGTTTTACCCTTTAAGTGACCCCAGGGAAGAACCCCCAGGACAGGGCCCCTCCGAGTCCCTGACAGTGTGCAGAGGAGAGTGATGGCCTAGGGGGCTGAGAGGGTGAGCAGAGAGAAGGGCAGGAGCAGGAGGTGGGGTTTGAATTGCTTTGCTTCAGTGCCCTGGAAATGCAAACACAGCTCTAGTTCCAGGGCTGGCTGGGATGGCTGGCGGAGAGCCTGGGGAAGGGAAGCCCCATCTCAGGGCGCAGCACAGGACCCTAGGGCAGTGGCTTCCCCCTCTCTGACCTTTAGCTCCTGCTGATAAATTGGCAGCAACTGTGTGACATCAAGGAGACATTTTCTTCTTTGTGAGCTCAGAGCTTCCATTTAAAAATTCCTCTGTCACAAGACAGAGGCTGCAGAAGCCCAGTCACACTTGTGCCCACAGCAGGTGACGTGCACTTGCTCCAAGACCTCCCCAGGGCTGTGCAATCCCAGGGATTCCGGCGGCCGCCAGGATGCCCATGTAAGGTGCGCTTGCTGGCCTTATTTATCCCCGTGGCGCTGCCAGCTCTTGGAAGGCCTGCAGGCATGGGATCACGATCACGGGGCTGCTCCCAGGCGGGATGGCACCGGCTGGCCAACGGCTTCCCCTAGGCCTTGGCTTTCCCTCCTTCTTGTCCTTACTCCTGGTGAAATTCAGGACTCAGATTCAAATTAATTGAGCAGTGAGCTCAGAAGTCATTCAAATGTGTTTTTCTTTCTTTTCTCTTTTCCCCAAATGTGTTTTTTCTTTTTCTTTCTTTTTTTTTTTTTTAATTTTGTGTGTGGCACTGGGGATTGGACCCTGGGTTCTCTACCATGGAGCTACATCCCCAGCTCCTCCCTCCCTTTTTAAATTTTGAGACAGGGTCTACCTAAATTGTTGAGACTGACCTCCAGAACGTGCGATCCTCCTGTCTCAGCCTCCCGAGTCACTGGGATAAGAGGCATGTGCCCTGTGCCTGGACAGACCTGTCTCCTGGGCTTTTGGGAGGGAGCACTGAGGTGGAAGAAGGAATGTCCTGAGTAAATTACAGGATGATAGAAAGAGCTATTATTTTAATATAGGTAAAGGGCAGAGTTGAAAGGGAACTGAGACCTCTTAATACTCCAAAGCCCTCATTTTACAGAGGAAACTATAGGCTCTGTGGGGGATGGAACCCACTCAAGTCCATAGCAAATTAAGTAGCCATGGTAGGTTAGAATTGATGACCTTGGGTAAGTTACTTTTTTCTCTCTGGACCTCCAGTTCCTTCATTAGTAAAATGATATGGTGGGGTTTGATGATGTCCAAGACTTCCTTCCAGATCTTAAAATATAAAACTATGACTGAAACCATAAATGAGTGACTCTCTCGGGCCATGGGGACCCTATGGATCCACTGAGCAGGGCCCGGGGCAAGACACCAAGGTGCGGGGCCATGTGATAAACAGAGAACTCGTGGACTGTAGTTTCAATTCAATTTTTGTGTGTGTGTGTGTGTGTGTGTGTGTGACGCAGTCCGGCTGCAGCAAAATAACTGGGGGGTGGGGGGTTACGAGCAACTTGTGTACATTGATACAGCAGGAGTGGGAGCTGTTTATTGTAGGACAGGAGGGGTATTTATACATTCCACACAGCTTATCTTAATTAACATAAACTCGATACAGCAGTCAACCAATAAGGAATCTCCACACTTAATGGCTCGCTGGCGTTACTTCACAAACCACTCCCTCTGCAAAATGCCAGGCG